GGGGTTGGTGTGGGTTGGAGATGGGGAGTCTTGGGGCCTGGTGGCCATGGGCTCACTGTAGGCACATGGGAAGAGGGTAGGAGAGCAAACCCACGTCGCTCCTTTCTCAGAGAAACTCCTCCTGCTCCATCACAGACTTCCAGCGGTGGGGGGACACCTTGGACCGTGGACACCTTGAGATGGGACTGTCATGCGTGGGGGCTCAGACGAGGATCTCGCTTGCTCCGGGCTCAAGGACTGAGGTCTTTTGAGGGAGACAGGCACAAATTCTTGCAGCCCTGGGATGCACAGTCCTAGAGAGATGATTTTTCTTGACTCTCTGCAAATGATCTGGTTTGAAACCAACAAACGTCTTCTCCCAAACTTGTCCCCATGCCTCTTTCAAGCCATCAAAATGCCTGAAATCCTCATGATATCAGCATGCTGCGGGGTTAGTCTCAGGCCTGGGAAGGGGAGGATGAGGAGGCTGGGCAGGGAGTAGGGCTTTTACCTGAGACAACAGCGCGTTGGGTTCCTGACCTTGGTGTCCATCCATCAGAGGAAGGGCAGGAGGAGGCCGCCGGGTCAGCTGGCTCCACTCTGACCCACCATACATCCATTTATATGCAGGCTACCGGGTAAAATAGCAGGGACGAGACAAGGACACACTGGGGCTTTTGATGGGAAAAAAAGTGAGTGGCTGAGGGGAGCTTTAAAGAGGCGTTGACCCCGAGTGGAAACTTGGGTGAAAAATGACTTTGCTCCCATCCTCTTGCTCAGAGCATCTTTTTTTCCCTTTACTGCCATTTATTTTGCTTATGCGATCAGATGCTAATGCTTTGGCGTGCAGCAGAGTCGCTCGCATTTTAAGGTCAAAATCCCTAAAGTTTGTAAATCGTAGTCCTTTAAAAAGATCAAATGCGTAGAAATAGTTTATACATGCGGAGCCTGGTGAGAGCAGAGTGGGAATTTGGCTGGGAGATGAACTCGGTGATCTTGGCCTCTTTGTCCGTTTGCTCGCTGATTTTCTCTCAGGCTCCGTGTCTGGTAGTGCAACAGTGGGGTGGTGGGTTTTGGGCAGATCCCCCTTCGCATGAAACCCATCTAGGGCTGGGATGGGATGACATTGCCGGCTCTTGGCAACGTCAAGGTTGTTATTATCCTCTTGTCTTTCTGAAGTCCCGTCCCCAGGGATATCAGGGAGCTGGAGGAAAAATAGGGATCTGGTTTTGAGAAGCCTTTGGGGTCTCAAACCGAGCCCCCAGATCCCTCCTTGCTTTGGAAAGCTGCAACCAGATGAATAGATGTCCCTCTCTGCCTTCCCACCGTGCAAGGCAAATTACTTATCTCTGCTCTACAGATGCTGGTGACATAATTTTCCAGAGCGACTGCAACTCCTGTTAGTATTTAAAAATCAAACCATAACACCCTGCCTGGTCTCCCAGGAAGAAAATCAAATGCATTCCCTGTCAGTGCAGCGGCAGCAAGAGGAGGACATGGCATCTCGGCAGCAAACTGCACGTGGCAGTCGTGTCGATGAGGCTTTAATGGGCGTCGTAAAAACGATACAGCAAACCAAGTCTGGGATGCAACGCTGTGGTCGCCTGGCCCCCGCTGCTGCGCTTGCTTTTCAGATTAAACCCCTGAAATTTCTAAACCGAGCTTAGGTGTAACAGCTGGGTTTAGTGCTGGCTAATGCTCCTTCCCATACATTTCTTCCGAGCCCGTGTGTGTGCACGCATGCATGCGTGTGTGTACTTTGTGGACAGCAGGAGGTACACAAAAGGAGACATTTTATTTGTGCAAGATTTGATTAAAATCTTGGAAACAGGTTTCAGATGGCAGTGAAAGCTGAAACCGGGGGAGCTAAGCTCGGGTTGCTTTTGTTACCGAAATTCTGCTTGGCTCTGACCTTTAGGCATCCCAAAGTGAAGACGAAGGACGTGTCTGGTGGTGCTGGAGGACATCACCAGGGCTTGATTCTCCTCCCTGGAAAGTAATTCCCCCTGCACTCAGCAAAGTTACATCGAGGAAAGCCGGGTAAAGCTCATCATGCTCCCCGGTCATGCAGGGATTAACAAAGAAAATGATATTTAAGTAAATTCAGCACCTCAAAACCAGCAGAGGCAGAATTTAGATTAAAAACTGTCAGTCCCACCCGTCTCTTTCAGATCACACGGCTAAGACTTGTCCACAAACACGTATGCAGAGCTTTACAAACACGTTTAGTTTTACACGTGTGAGCGTTTCTATAGATGTGGGACACTGCTGACTAAAATAAGGCTTCTGCAAGCGTTTGCAGGCTTGGGGCTTTTTGGCTGTTTTGTCTTCTGAAGAAATTTTAACTAGTAGCTATGATCTAACAGGAAAAAAAGTACATGATGTTTTAATCCCAAATCTGCCGAGTACAACGTATTTTGAAGGAGAAGCCTTGAAATGCACATTTTGGTTTATTTTAGTGTTTAAATAGAAACTCTCTTCTGGCATTTGCTTTTTAATTTTTTTTTTTTTTTTAAATTGGAAAATAGACCGTTTGCTTCTCCGCTGACCTCTCCCTGGGAATCTCTTTTAAGTCTTCCCTGTTTTGACATGTTGTTTGTGCAGAGCTCAGCGTTCACCTTACTAAACCGAAACCTTATCCCCCGCTACTGAAAAATTGATTCGCTGGGTATGTGCAAACCCAACCCCATGAATCCTGCTGGAGAAAACAGGGGAGATCGGTGGTAGGTACCTGCTTGTATTGCAGAGATAAAAATACAATTTTGCACGCACCTCACCTTGCTCTGCTGCTCTTTGTGGCTTACCTAAGGAGGTCATCTCCGCACAGGTTTTCACGAGTGATTCAGTGTAAAAATTGGGGTTAGAAACGTTTTCTTAGCCTAACTCTGACTCATCTTCCCATAGCACCCGGGAGCAGTGAACTGCCGTTTAACCAGCCGGCGGAGGGGAGCGGATTCCTGGGTGGTCCCTGTAACCACAGAGCACAGAAAGCAAAGCATTAAAATGTAACATGAGGACGAAGGGAAAGGGGCACTGAACCACTTTCTCCCAGTGTTATCTCAACACAGCAGATGGAGAACAGAGATAGCGAGGGTGGCTGCTCATTTTTCCGTGCCCTCTCCAGCCAAATCCAGTAAATAATGAAGTGTAATTTGCCAAATAGCCTTTGAATGTATTATTTGCTTTCGAAGGTCCTGATACTTCCACTGTGGCAGGCAATCCTTGATTTATGTGGTGGGGTTAGGGGAAGGAATTGGATCCCGAGAGGCTCGGTGTCAGGAATTTTACTAGTCCTACCTGAGCAAAGAGTCATGCAAATCATTACTTGAGTGCCTTGGTGAGTAACGTTAGAGGGAGCTGCAAATAGAGGGGGTGATTTTGCATGTCTTTTACTTGGGGAAGATAGATGGAAGGTGCAAAGGCAGAGACAGAAAAGTTCCTCTGTTTGGCTTGGCGGTGGAATTGCATTTGGTGCATCCAACTGATGATTTGGGGATGCTTTGCAGCGTGGTCAACCTCAACCCTGTGCTACAGAGCTTCACGTAGATGCTTATTGACCCAACCCGGAGACTCCCACTTGCAAACAAACCCCAACATTGTGTTGTTTGGACTTTAAACGATACCCGCGAGTTTGGCTGTGGAGGAGCAGGAACCCCAGACTGGGTTGGACTGGAAAGCAAGCGTTGTTGCACTGGGCTGCCCTTGGTCAGCGGCTGCAGTGCTGTCTTCAGCCCTGACACGGCGTTGCATTAGGGATTCACTCAATGCTGCTTGAAACAAGCGCTCGCCAGCATTTTGCAGGTATAATGGCTTATTAAATCAGAGCTTAAATTAACTTAGAGCAATGGTAAGCCGAGGTGGTTGGGGTTTCCGTAAAACAGAGAATTCTTTGGTTTTTGATGTCTATATCCAGACATTCATGAAAACACCAAAAGAGTTTGCTCATGTTGTCGTTTTTCCACCGAGAACAGTTTTCACTGAAAAATTTCCAATAGGCTACAGTGCTAAACCTGCCTCAGGTGGAACATTTACATGATAGACCGATAAAATTCAGTCGTTTGAGATGGTGGTTGTATGGGGCTTTCCTTCTCTGTGAAAGGTGTTTTTCAGGAACGCTTAAAATGTATGAAAAAGAGTCAAACCTTTATTCAGATCGAGGGTTTTTTTTTTTTAAATGGTTGCTTTTGTTTATGACACACTCTGGCTGCAAATATCTGCCTCCTTCCAAATAAATCAGAAAAAGAAAAAAAAAAAAAGAAAGAAAGGAAGAGCTTTGCTTCTCATCAGGACTTACTCCAAGGCCGGCTCTTGGCTTGGCCCCGCTCTCTCCCATGGGGGTGGCTGAGCATTGTTCAGTGACTCACCCCAAATTGCGTCGCTCCGTACTATGGGCTATGCGTGATGTCACTCTGTGCTAATGTGGGATTTTCCAGCTCTTTGTTTTCCATCCCTCCTTGAACGGGGTTTCTGCTGGTTCTTCATCCTTCCTCAGCCTACTTTTTCCAGGATTGCTCATGATTCTTTAAAATTAATTTTTTCCTTTTGCTTTTCTTTGGACCAGGATGCCCAGAGGTGGAGCGGTAATTCAGAGATGCTTTTCTCCCTGCTTTCTTGTTCACCCTGGTGTGGGACTGTTTACCTTCTTGGGTGTCTGGAGCTGCTCAGCTATCTCCCAGGCTCCAGAAGCCACCTGGGGTGATGAAGCCCAGCAGGCTGATATCTGGAAAGGTCTTTGATATCGCCGTCAAATTTCCAGCAGCGCATTCACAGTTGGCTTGTAGGGAGACCATGTGCACCATGTAACCTTGCTTACCAGACATGGCTTGTTTATGCCCTTTAAGTACAGGCTTATTATAATCACAAGATTCTTTTTCTTGTATTTAAGAAGCCTGCTCATGGACTTGCAGGGTTTAGGTGTAGGGCTAGAGGGTCTAAGTGTGAAAGTTTCAGAGGAAAAAAAAGATTTCTCTGTTTTTCTGACAATTCAATGGCCAGCACGACTCCTTTATCATGTTTCCCAGTCCCGTGTCCTTATGGCCATTTTTCTCTCCTGCTTCTTTCAGACATGGAATGTGCGGATGTGCCTTTATTAACTCCCAGCAGCAAAGAAATGATGTCTCAGGCACTGAAAGCCACCTTCAGTGGCTTCGCAAAAGAGCAACAGCGGCTGGGAATCCCCAAAGGTAAGACATGGTTTCCCAGTGAGCAACCGTGGTGGCCACAGAGATTGTGTTCTTCTGCCAGGCTGCCCTTCTCCACATCTGCCATCCCTTTTGTATTGCCTAGTTTCTTGGCAGTTTCAGGTGGAAAAATCTGGACAGACAGGTGAAACCTTTCAGTACCACTTGCAAACTACACCTGTCTGACAGATCGTGCCTGTCTGTCCTGCTAACTTCTGCTGAATGACTGCTCTTGCAGCTTTGGGGACCTGCACCTTTGGAGGCAGCTCCACGACTTCTCTTTGCAAGTCATCTCCGCTATACGGAGAAGTGGCAGGAACCTTTTACCAGAGGCTGATGACAGGGAGAAACCAAGCAAAATGGAGAAATGGGTGGGAGAAGGAGTCACAGAACTGGTGGGATTTTTTAAAGTCCCAAACAAATCCAAAGCTCATTCCTGGTATGAAATATGTCTGCATCCAAACTGTAGGTACGGTGTTCCTCCACCACGTTTTACCCTTATGCCAGTGGGCTGCCAAGCTCTATGGGAGGAGGTTGTGCAACTGCAGTGCAGCCGTAGCACCTTTTGTGTCCTGTTTTCCTGAGGAAATGGCTTCTGGTTGCTCCTTAATGGATCTCTTCTACACTCCCTTGTTGCAGATCCCCAGCAGTGGACGGAGACGCACGTGCGGGACTGGGTGATGTGGGCAGTGAATGAGTTTAGCCTGAAGGAAGTCGATTTCCAAAAGTTTTGCATGAACGGAGCTGCCCTCTGTGCCCTGGGCAAGGAGTGCTTCCTGGAGCTAGCGCCTGACTTTGTGGGAGAGATCCTTTGGGAACATCTGGAGATCTTGCAGAAAGGTGAGTCCTGGAGTCTTCAGGGTGAATGGCTCACGTCACCCCGGCTAGCCTGATTTTGGGCCTTTCCAAAGACCTTGTCTCACAGTTTGGCTTCGCAATGAGGTGTTCACCTTGGGCTTTAATCTCAGTAAAAGCAGCTTTCAAAGCCCAACTTTCCAGTAGGATTTCAAAAGGCCATCCCAACCGGTAGTGGGCAATGCAAATCCTGGCACTGCTTGAAAGAGGAAGAGTGTTTGTGCCTGCTGCTTGGCAGGAATCCAGAGCGGGCTGGGACGCTATGCCTGCCTGGAAACGACGGTGGGATTTTCCAAAGCATTCTTCCTCGGCTCGTTCAGCTCCCGTTGTGAATTTTACTACTTCCTCCGGGAGAACTGGGTACAACAATACCACCAAAATCCCACCCTTATTTCCCAGTTGCGATTGGAAGCTGTTTCATGTCCCAAAAGGTATAATGCCATTTTGTTAAGAGCGGCTGTGCCCCCCCAGGAGAAGCCATCTCTGCCAGACCCTGCATGACAGCATTCAAGGGCATTAATTGTCATTGACTGGGGGGGGACACACATTGATTTTAGGTGTTGATTTTCATAGTGTCTGGGTGCCCAAGCAGCACTTAACCTGGGATGGTTTCTAAAGAGCAGGTGAAGAGCTTAACACCTTTAACTGAGCCACAGGCAGGAGCAGCATCAAGTCTGGACTCTTTCTCTAGCTCCTTTTTGTGCAGAGCTGTTTGCTTTCCGGGAATATCCCTTGCGATGTCATACCAACCCTGCGTGCTTGTCAGCGGACCTGTAGTGGTGGCAGGAAGGGGAGGGGGAGCAAAGTTATGCCTTCCAGGAAACCATTGACAAATGGATGTTAATTGCTGATTACTAATTTTACTGCTACCTGTGGTTTGCAAAAGGTAAACACGGCTCTTCCCAGGGTCTGTGTATGACAGGCTGTTTTTCTGCTCTTTGCGTCTGTTCTGTTCTCATTTTGCATAATTTTTATTGAGTGCTTATATCAACAGCAAGCAGTTTAACCAAACAAAGCAAAACGTTGTGGTCAGTCCAATTTCTCCTTGCTGTAAGCCATTGCTTGTAACGCAGCTCTACCTTCGTTGAACCCTAGAATGGTTTGGTTGGAAGGAACCTTAAAGATCATCTTGTTCCAACCCCCCTGCCATGGGCAGGGACACCTTCCACCATCAGGTTGCTCACAGCCCCATCCAACCTGGCCTTGAACACTTCCAGGGATGGGGCATCCACAGCTTCTCTGGGCAACCTCTTCCAGTGCCTCACCACCCTCATGATGAAGAATTTCTTCCTAATATCTCATCTAAATCTAAATCTTTCCACAACCCTTCTTCATATGTTTGTGCTGTAACCCACTGGAGAGGGGTGCCATGTGCTGCAGGTACTGACTGAAGCATCAGAATTGGGTTTGCAGCTCCTTCCTGCAGGTTTCTCAAGGCATGGGGATGAACTTGGTGCTGTAGTTTCGCGGTAAAGTAGGGATCACGTTTCCTTATAGCATTGACACACGTGGGTGTGCAGATGCTGCAGCCATGAGGATGCAAAGGGTCTGAGATAGAGAGGAGCTTTTACAAAGAAGCTGGAAATCTTTGTGCCTGTTGCAGCTTTTCCTCCAAAAGGAAGAAAAAGAATAAAACTGAATTTCTTTGTCTCAACACTGTTAGTGTAACCCTGGGAGCCAACAAATCTCCATTCTGTGGTCAGTTTTACTGGTGACTTTGTCACTTCTTGTGTATGCTATCTGAGCCTTAGCTTCTGTGGTGGGTTCTCAACACATTTCTCAGAAGGGCAGTATCTGTGAAGTATTTGGAGGGTAACTAAGAAGAGCTTCCAATACATAACCAGACTCACCCCAAGGTCTAATTTCTGTTCCCTGTAAGTCATGGGACTCATATTGCTCGTAGTAGATCTCCAAACCCCTGACGAGATCTGGGTTCTGTTGCGCTGGTGCTGTACAAATGTAACATGCAAAATTGTCCCTGCCACATCTCTCCCCGCACAAGAGGAGATGGTTGTCTCCACTTCACACCTGGGGATGCAGAGCGTGAAGAGATCGAGGTTTCTCCAGGCTCAACCATGGCGTCAAGGGTCCAACTTGCCTGTCCCCATCTCTTCCATCTTCTCCACCCACCCACCATCATCACTTGAGGGTGTTGATGCTGGGAGTGGTGGTTAACCCCAAAATGTTTGGCTTTACCTATAGCGGTGTGACCGCCAGCATCGGGTCGTGCTGGGACAGGCTGTGACCTTGCTGTCCCTTCAGCTAACATGCCTCCCTTGTGAACGCTTTCAGAGTGACTCATGTACCGCAGGGTGCTCAGAGTTTAAAAACGGCAGCAGATGGGCAACTTTTCCCTGCATGGATTTGGGTATTTTCAGGCATATTTTTCCAAATTTCTTCCTAAAATAACTTCTTCAGTTACCAGCAGTCAGCAGTGCCCTCCACTTGACTGTAAGCATAGCTGAAGGTTGCTGTCTTTCTCTGTGGTCACCCACCCTGCCCCTTGGCAGACACCGTGGGGAGACGAAAAGAGCATTTCTCATTAGGTCTCTCTGTTTGCACAAAACCTCCTTTTGTTAGAGAATATTTTCCACCCTGCAATCCCCAGGAGAGAGGGCCAAAATTAGGCTCTTTGCAAGCGAACGTGCATTATCTTCGGTTTGCTTCTCTTTAACCTCAGCAGAAATAAACATAACCCGGAGTTGTCTGTGTGTTTTTTATTTTGGTTACCCTCTGCAGAGAAAATAAAATCTCCCGTGCCGGTATCTCTGCCCACGTACTGTGCTGGAATGAGTAAGGTGTTAATGGAAAAACTGGTCAGGGTAGGAGCAATGTGGCTTTTATATGGGAAAGCAAATCCAGCGCCAAGCCCAGGAGTACCAAAGTGCTTGGAAAAAGCAATGGGAAGCGGAGAATCTATGCATCGATGTGATACGTGCTTTTTCTCAGTGAATTATGCCTATAGAAAGGCTAAAATTTTGCGTGCTGCCCATGTATACGTGGTGAAGTCTGTATCAGCAGTTGGGTGATGGACGGTGCGGCAAAACTTTTTTGAGCATGGGATCTTCTGCCTGCATCAGGTGCGAGTTGGGTGATGGACGGTGCAGCAAAACTTTTTTAAGCATGGGATCTTCTGCCTGCATCAGGTGCAAGGTGAAAGGTGCTGTGTAGGCTGGGAATTAGCATTAATTTGGGGTTGTAGGAGCTGGTTTTGGTATGCGTTACCCACTCACTTGCACACACCTACTGCTGGTCTAAAAATAAGGGCTTTTTCAGGAAAACAGCTGTCCTTGTATGGTGGAGTTTTTTCACGAGCTTATACATGTAAGCACAATAAGCAATCCTCAAGAGAATGAAAGACGACAAAAATTAAGGCAAGCAAGGAAATTATGCAACTCGTATTTCAGAACCACCTGGAGCCTCTGATTGAGAAAGTTGTTGCTGTTTTGCTTGGTTTTGTTTTGTTTAAATTTGGGCAGGCCTGCAGCAAGAATTCCCAAAGGAACCCAAGTGCATCAAGCACTTGTTTCAGTGGGATTTCGGCTCCTAACTCAGTTCTCTTCCTTTGAACGTCCCAGTTTAACCCAGAGAGGAGCATTTTAGGAAGTTCAGACCTCTCTGTATTACAGCAAGTCTTGCGAAGCACGATATGCCTATGGACATGTGACATTTCCTTCCTTTCCTCTTTGCAGAAGAGGTAAAACCGTACCCAGCAAATGGAGTGAATACAACATATCCAGAATCCCGCTATACTTCAGACTACTTCATTAGTAAGTCTCAATTACCAGTATCATTCTAGTGTTTCCAGGCATGAAAGTGCCACCGATGAGAGATTTGTCTGCATCCCATGAGGACTGCACCAGGCAGTTGTTGCTCTGTCGTGGCAGAGCGTGCAAAGTGTGTAATTTTGCCTTTCCTAGAGTTTTGAGTTTATTTAGAAGCCATCTGTATTTTTTGGTAACTGCCTTGAGATGCCATAATCTGACTGCAAGCAGTATTTGTTTAAAGCTGTAGCTCAGCAGACCTGAAAAGCCACTTAACGCTCCAGAACATTGGGAATTTTAAAAAACTTATTAAAAAAGGGAGGGAACGGGGGAAGAAGGCTTAGTTCTGGATTGCTAGGTAGGAGCCTAGCAAGGAAAGGGATGAGTCATCAATCTGGACTCCTGCACTTCCCATTGCCGTTGGTTTGGAGATGTTCTTTAAGGGCATTTGAAATCTGTGATGTATTTCATGAACCAGCAAAAAACCCCAGCTCACCTGAATTGGGATTCCAGGCTCTGGCTAGTGAGGAGAGGTGACTGTGGAAGTGACTCATCTATTACAGTCATAAGTGAAACTTCTTTGCCCTATATCTCCTTTGCTGAGACTACACTCTTTATGATTTTCCAGCTTTTTCCCACTAGCAGCTTGCTTGAGAGAGGAGTTTGGCGTAATGCACATTGATGACTATTAAGGATGTCTTATATTTTTAAATTGCTGCAATTATAAGATACTATCTCTCTGTAGCTTTTAGAAACTGTACTCAAAATCAGTGCCCAATTGTGCCAGGTGTTTTGTATCCGAAGGCAGTCTCCTCTTGCACTGTAGACCTCAAAAGTCACTGGGCTGTGGGAGACTGGAGGGAGAGCGAGCAACGCTCCGGTTTCTTTGAGCTTTTTGTATTTGGGTTGCTTTCTGACGCTCCCGTTCTGCCGACAGGTTATGGCATCGAGCACGCACAGTGCGTGCCTCCCTCCGAATTCTCTGAGCCCAGCTTCATCACAGAGTCCTACCAGACCCTCCATCCTATCAGCTCAGAAGAGCTCCTGTCCCTCAAGTACGAGAGCGACTATGCCTCGGTCATCCTCCGTGACCCAGTGCAGACGGACTCCCTGCAGACAGACTACTTCACGATCAAGCAAGAAGTGGTAACGCCAGATAACATGTGCATGGGACGTACCAGTCGAGGTAAAGTTGGATATCTTGCAACGTTTACCTGGGTTCTTGCTGTTCTACCTATATCAACATAAGTGCTGCCTTCCCTTCTATAGGAGACAGTGCTTTGGGGATGCCAGGGCCATCAGGGAGCCGTGCAATGCCAGTAACGAAGCCATTTCCCAACATATATATCTTATGGGGTTGAACCCCCAGTTGGGTTCCCTGATGACTTTGAGCCCTCCCTACCTTTCTCTCCAGGGAAAACATGAAGAAGGGCTTTCTTTACTCTGCTGCCTGTTTTTACAACTGCAAAAATGTAGCGTTTCTGGTGCTGTGCTTTAATGTCAAACTTGATTGAAGTTGAAACAGGCTTTAAGATTATTAGGGAGGGCAGTCTGCTGTGCAGTTGTATAAATCTCGTTTTCCTAGGAGACCAGGCAAAACCTCACAAATTCTTCACAAGTTCTCATCAGGAATTAACTGTCCAAGGCTCTGAAGGGTTTTACACTTGGTGATCCAAAGTCTTTATCCATTTTCTCCATTGATTTTGATGGCTGCTTGCTTGAACTGAGAATCTGTTCTGATGAACGCAAGCCCTCTGCTTTTGTTAGGAGATGCAGATGTCATGGATTGAGTCATTGACAGAGCTGAAGGACACCCTGAATCCTTGTGCTACAGCCCTACATCTCCAAAAGAGTTATAGGTACATGATTCCTGTTTGAGGTGATGGGATTTAAACACCTAAACACTTTTGAGGATCTAAGCCTAAATACCTTTTCAATTAATATTATTAAATTCTGAACACATGGGGCCCAGATGCCTCACTACTTTGTTATTACATCGCTTAATGCAAGGCTGAGGATCTGTCTCACAGTGTATATTCAAAGCAAAAGTTTAATCCATAGAGCTCAAAGTCACTTACAAAGGGGTATCATTATCTCCTGATTCCAGGTAGGGAACCTGAGGCACAGGGAAGAGATCTGACCTGCCTGCGATCGCACCTTGAATAGAATCCAGGTGTCCCCATGCCTAAAATTCATTATAGTTATGTGTTGCTGTGAGCCAGGTTTGATGTTGAACATTTAAACCCATTCATCCAGCTCCGAGACCTGAAGATGCGCTGGCTGCCTGTGAATGCCCGAGCCGCTTTGCAGGTCAGCATCGCATATGTGTTGTTCAGTGGAGCTCATTTTGAGTTTTCTCATTCTTTTTCCAAGCTGGGAGAGCTAATGACAGGAAAGTTATTGTTTGTATTATTATCTCTGCTTCTGCTGCTGGCTGAGTGTTAATATTAGAGAGGTGTCTTGGACAATACAGTGAGCCAAAAGGGCAGCAGTGTTACAATTTTAGGTAAGCTTCTCTTTCTGGGGTTGTTTTTTTGGCTGTCTTTCATCAGTGTCTTTCCCTTTTCTTGACCTTTTCTTTCACATAGGTGATTTCATAATAATTCTCATTGAAATGCAATGATTCAGGCATGCTTTTGCAATTGTACCTTGAGCCTGTTCTCACTGACAAGCCTAAAAAGGCTCCAGGGGAGGGAAGAAAGAGCCCTTAACTCAGCATTGGGGACCAAGGGCCCCTGGTGTTAGCAAACACTTTAACAGACTGATTGCAGTTGAGGAGATGCAACAGACTACGGCCGTGCTTGCGCTAACGCTACATTTCAGCCATGCAGAAGGGCCTTCGGGTGGCATAAATCCTCCCAGAGTGGTATAAAGAAGCCTTAATGTAAAGCAGAGTCCAGTTAATTTGTATTTAGGTACATCTTTACCTTCCACGTATTAACGAGGTTAGTCTGCCGCAAAGCCAAGCGCTTCAGCAGTGGGAAGTTCAGGACGAAGGTTTTCCAGACAGTCGCCTTTTGTGTGGGCTTTAGGAGTTAATTTTGTGGTCCCATGGGAATTGTTTCACTCTGCCTTATCAGTGAGGGTGTCTGGTTGGAAAGTGTTTCTCCTGAGTAAGCGCAAGGCATGATTTTTGCAGCTAGGTCAAATTTAGCTGAATTTTCAATGAATTGACCCAAGGCATGTCTCTGACACCGTGGCTGTTCATCTGGCAGATTTTTAGTTCCTTTTCTAAATGAGCTTGTGCCGCAGGACTTCTCAAGGAAGTGGTTATGCCAATTAATGAATGTGCACAAAGCAGTGTTAATTTTCCCCTTGCAGGATTCAGGAAGTGATTGAAGTGCATTCTGTGAAAGTCTCAAAAAAAAAAACGCAAAGGAAAAAATAAGATGAGTTTGAAGCATGGATATTACCAGCAGAATCAAGTTAATGGATCCAAACTTCAAACGATTCTGGGCCAGCAATCAGGGCACAGCCCACGGTAGTTGAGTCTTTTCGCGGCAAGTGCTCTTCAAACTACAACACAACAAATATTTGGGGGAGTGTGCCACGTTCCTGTTCCCTTGTGATTTACTATCTGGGCCCAAGCTGCGGGTCGCTCTGCCAGTGGAAATTTCTCCAGGAGTTCTTGCACAATCCCAGCAGCTGTTTTTAGCCCGGTTTGGGAAATTAGTGAACTTGAATGATCCTGTTACGCTCTTAGTTTGTCAGTAAAGATGTTGAGCAATCGGCAGCGTAAGGGAGATCAGAGAGAGCAATTTCAGTTTGTTCTTTGGATCCTTTTTTAGCTCTCTGTTTTAAGTACAGAGGGTATACTTATGCTATCTCTAGTGGGTGTAAATCAGCATAGCACTGCTGAGGATCTGGCCTCTCATGTTCTGGTCTGTACTAAAAATACCCCAGAGAGCAGCCTTGATACAACCCAGCTGTGCTCACCTTACCAGAACTGGAAAAATAGCTGTTTGAGCTCTCAGCCCTTTGCTCTCCTCCTCCATCAAATCTGCTGCTGTTTGGGGATTTGGGGGTGGAAGCTGGTTGTAACATACGGCAATAAAAGGCTGCTGTGTAGTTTTGCAGGCAACATCAAAAGTAAAGAAGCTGGGTGTCCACTGCCCTTGAATATGCCTGAGCAGCATTTATATAGGGCTGACAGATACGATATGGGACTTACTGGAGACCCATATCTTTCAGCAGCGAGAGCAAGAGGTTCTGGCACCTGAATGGAGCCTTGAATATCTGTCTAAAGCGGATTATTTCTCTGTCGTTGCCTTTTTGAAACAGAGGACAGTTTCCAGTTAGCCCAGGTATCGGTCTCGCATACAGAGTCAGGACTTTGAGTTTTTCCTCTGACTCTGCCTTGCTTTGCTGCCTGAACTTCTCCGGGCCTTAGATAGCCCTGCTCTGAATTACAAAGATAATAAAAGTACCCCAGTTTCAGGCCTTACTTTTGAGTTTGTTTGGAGATCAGACATGATGGGACAGCAACATTTGCCTGGTTGCCTTCTGCCTGTGCAGCGGGGAGGCGAAACATCCTTCTCCAGGTCGTGGCAAGCTAAAGCATCCCACTGCTGGCCAGGCACATCTCACATGCCCTTTTTTCTGGCCAGGTAAACTGGGTGGCCAGGACTCCTTCGAAAGCATAGAGAGCTACGACAGCTGCGACCGCCTGACGCAGTCCTGGAGCAGCCAGTCCTCCTTCCAGAGCCTGCAGCGCGTCCCCTCTTACGACAGCTTTGACTCGGAGGACTACCCCGCCGCCCTGCCCAACCACAAACCCAAGGGCACCTTCAAGGACTATGTTCGAGATCGGGCCGATATGAACAAGGACAAGCCTGTCATTCATGCTGCTGCCCTTGCATTCGTGCTGCTGCCCTTGCTGGCTATACAGGTAGGGTCACGCTTCTCAGAAAACCGCCTCTCTGCTGAACGTCTTGGGTAGAACCTCTCCATCGATGGAGGGCAGAGCCTTCAGGGTCTCTGAGTTGCCCAGCGTCTGTGTTGCTGGTTCAGCGGTCTGCGAGTGAGGGGTTTTGGGGTGTCTCTCGGGTCAGACACAGGCGGACCTGGGAGGACGCAGCCCCCAAGGCTGCACGTCCTTCAAGTGTGGGCAGTCCAGACCTCATGGAGGATGTAGGACCTGGCTGAGCGCAGGGCATTTGATGCCTTGTGTTTTCATTTACGCCTCCTGGTTGGGTCTGGTAGGAACTGGTGGCTGATTGTATTGCTGAGAACACAAGGTAGTAGAAAGCCCACGTTTCCCCCCTCTGACACTTTTACGCAACGTGCTGGCCACTCGCTTGTGGTTTCCCCTGCATTTCTGGCACGGCTGTGTGCGATGTGAAATGATCTTCTCCCCTTTTGGTGTGGAGGAAGCACTTGGTTTTGCTCTTTACCTTGATGCAAGGCAGGGATGGGATGGTGGCAAAGCAGATCCAAACATTTTCCATTCCCTGCGCTGGGAGAGATGAGAAGGCGATAGGCCACAGAAACTCCGGCTTTTTATATGACAGCCCTCCAGCAATCTGGCATCTCCCTGGAGAGAAACCTGGTGGGATGGGGCTTCCAGCTACAATTGAGATAATCCTTTCCAGACCTTCTGTGCCATGTTTTTTCCCTGTACTCGAAGTAAAAGTCACAGGGCGGCCTCCTGCCAGTTCCCCTTTCCCTCGTACATACTGATCTCTCCTGCCCCAGCTGGTAGCAGCTGTGGCCCGGAGGAGCCAAGCTGTGGAAATAGTTTGTGCAGATAAAGATCATCAAAAACTTCAGAGCAGATCCTGAGGTGCGACTGTCCCTGAAATCTCCTCCCACGCAGAGCTCATCTTAGGGCTGATATCTAGTTTTTTGTAAGGCGGGGAGTGATGCGGAGGGGAGGAGAGGTGAAGAGATAATTTTAGGAGCTATGTGTAAAAAAGGAAGTGGTTTGTTGCTATAGCTTTAGCTAGAAAGAAAGCTCAGCCCTGCTTGCTGAATGAGCCCGTTTCGACCAAATCTATGCAAAATAAAAGTGTGCTCTGCTATTCCTGAATGGTTTTCGGCTGGGGGATGTGGTGGGGAGAGGCATGAGTTGTAGGAGGGGCTGTGCCCTGAGACACTGTCCTCCGCCGTGCCACGGAAGTTGACGTTCCTGAGAAAAAGAGACCAGTGAGAACAACTTACAATTTTTTATTCCTGTTTTCTCCTGATAACGCCTTTCACTGCAGCCCATGGAGGTGTTTTGGGTACCCAATATCTGGGCAGGAGTGTTGGTTGCATTTTAACAGCTGGGGAAACTGAGGCACTGAGGCACTGGCAAAAGTAGGAGCTTTATTTTCCAAGCTGGATGTTTCTCTCCATGTTTGCTGTAGCTGATGGAAAAGAGCCACCCCCATAGAGAGGCAGCGTTCCCAGATCCCTCTGCAAGCGAGGAGCTGAAGTCGGTGGCTGGACCCTGTGTTTTGCCAGGGAGTATTAGCACCCCAAAGAGTGTCCTTGGACTTGTGCCGCCAGGAAGGGGAGACTTTGGTTAATGCAGTGCCAGAGCACACTTCCAAACACTTTGCGCTACGTAACATTTTCCCTTGCCTCATTTCAAACCCCGTTTTGAGCCGGGAAGATAATCCCTTGGCCCAGGCATTTCAGTGTGATCAATAAGTGGGAGTGCCTGATTTTTTATTTTTTTTTTTTTTTGCATTGCTTCACTTGAGAAACTTTAAAGAGGAAAATCAGAGGTTTCCAGAATCAGCAATCACTTGGAAATCCTTGGGCTGGAGCACTGCTTGCTTGCTCTGAAGGCTGCTAAGCAATAATTCAGTCCTCAAACCACCACAGCCTGCATTTACCGTTGGGAACGATCTTTGGACAGATGATCTTTGCAGGCACGTGACTCCAGAGATGTCCTCTGTCCCTTTTTAAAGCCTGCTGACCTGTCAGCACCTTACGTTTTCTGTGCAAAGGGAGCCCAGCATGGGTGCGAGGAGAAGCCAGGTTGCTGTGAAAGCACGTCACAGTGAGAGCAAGTGAGAACATGTTGCATTACGAACGGTAGGAGATGTGGCACTCTGAAAACTGTTTTGTATTAGTGTATTTCTGAAAAAAAAAAAAATAAAAAAAAAAATCCAAGCTGGCCACTGAGAAGTGCTGGACCTCTTTCTTGGGCCAGCTGAGCAATGAGTGTGGGGACTCTCAGGCAGAACTCCTAGGTTCATTCTTTTTTTGCTTTGCTTTACATTACTTTTACTTTACTCGGGGGAGGAAGTGCCGTCTAGCAGTTAGAGCAGAGGAACTTGAAGTCTGGGCTCTGTTTGCAGCTCTGGTGAGGAGGTGGAGCCTCCAAACGAGCAGAGCAGGGGATTACCAGCCCAGGGTCCCAAAGCGACCAGGACCCCTGCTTTCCCTTTCTCACTCAGATGATGCCTGGAGCACACGTCCACCACCAGTCACCAACCAGTGGAGCACCCAACAGGCAAGCCATGGTGTGCACCTTCTAGGGCTGGAAGGGTGAAGCCTGGGAGCTCACATCCTTCATCTCCAGGGCTCTCTAGGTTGACTTTAAGAGAACTTGACAATATTGTTCAGGTTTTGTTACCAAGGGGCTGTTTGCCAGTGGCCCAGGGAGGTGGCACAGTGCTTTATCGCAGCCGCGGCAGATCTCTGATGGTATCTGCCCAAGGAGGCGCATGCTTTGGTGAGAAAGGTGCATTTTGGCGGAAGCTCCATTTGCGTTTGATGTGTTCTTCACCCAGCTCGCAAGCAGCTTTTCAAAGCTGCGTTATCTGCCCCCACATCTTGACCTAATTTAACAAGTTGCCATGGTTGCTCAGATAGAGGTTGATGCAATTTTCTTATCTTTTTTGAAGGAGAAATATAATTGCTCAGGAGTTGGTGAACTTTAGTTTCCATAGCTGCAGGGAGGGCCAACTCTGGACACCTCTGGTTTTGGGCCCAGCTCTCTCAAAGCTTGGCCAGCTTGAGTCTTACATTAAGCCAGACTTTATTTTTTTTTTTGACATAGCCTAGGAAACGGAGACAGAATGCGCCTATTAAATTTAGGCAAGCGGTGTGTCAGGATGCGTCTTCTCTGCAGGCAGATACGCTAACCTCACGTTGGCTTAGCTGAGCTCAGTTTAAACGTCCTCGTTCATGCTGCAGTGCAGTGTTTGGTGGGCATGGGAAACTTGTGCTAGGTGCATGCTGGCACATGGGTCTAGACCCCTCTGTACCTGAGCCCAGCTGGGCTAAATCGAGCTTGGCTTTGCCTCCGTGCCACCTGCAACCCTGTCTGCGGCTGTGCCATAGCTGGATCCTGCAAGCCGCTGCCTCGGACGGGTACCATGGCCCCCGGCATCCCTCGTGAGACCTGAGGCCACGTGGATAAATGCGGATAATCTGTAGCAGAGAAGCGTGCAGCCCATGCAGAGGGCAAGTGGTGTGGGTCTGACCGCATTGGTCTTTGGCCTTTCTGCCCTATATTCATTTTTCCACTACGCTGACCTACTTGTGCTGCTGTCCTCCTGGGGATGCAGGTCCAGCAGAGATTCAGACCCTCCCTCTGCCCCTACGGTTGGTGATAGCCACTCAGGGCTGAATTGTTTTCGGCTTTTCTTGAGTGCCCCAAAGCACCTGTGTGGGTTTATAGCCAAGATACGGTGTTTGTTTGTGGTACGTAGGACCTCGGCATCGTCTCTGCAGGCCGGGGCTTTCCATCTCGCAGCGTTGTCTGCATTGCCGCAGCACCAGAGCTGTGATGTGCCGAGCTGCTGCTCCACATAGCTGAACAGACAGGGCAGAGCGATTCCCCTCGTGTTTGAGAGGCGACGGGAGGAAAGAGGGATGAGAAAGGTGAGGTGAGTGCATGCCAAACCTTGATCCCTCATCTGCAGGGCTGGTTTTGCATTTGTGATACTGTCCTTTCTTATGGACCTGGGTAGGAAGTTGCTGATGCCTTTATAGACAATCTCAGCACCTGAAGAGTTAATGCTAAAATTACACATGACCTGAATGTCTCTCTTAATGACACATTGATGCTATCTTCATTATCATGCTGCCCTTAAAAAAGATGTGCAGGGAATAGCCACCTCTTGCAGATGCTATCTCACCCCAGCGCCCAGGAGCGCTTCTGTCTACCAAACGATTTTGCCCAGGCTAGATCCAACCCTGATCCTTGCTATCAGCATTCACAGTACCGTGTCGATAGGGCCCAAATTTGCCTGCTAAACCCATCTGCCCTGTCCGAATTGACTGCAGTGCAGAGCCTGAAGCCTTCGACAAGCCTCCGTTTCTGAGCGATGCTTATCTGTGACACAGAAGTGAAAGCACGCAGCTGCTGTTTTGCAAGAAAGTCAAGTGGGTGCCAAAGAAAGTGGGTCTCTTTCAAGAGAGCTTGTGTGCTGCTTCCCCTCCTCTTGTTGCCTATGCTGCAGGCCTGAAGCTTCCACCAGCGAGCTCCCCAGATGTGCTGTGGTCATCGACATCCAAAAATCCACCAGCAGCTGCCTGCCAGGCCCCTCTCCCACCATGATCCAGTGATCCGACTGTCCTTGACATCCAGAGTCTGTGCAATAGCTGTCCTAGAAACATCAGCATCCTTCCCGCCTCCTTGCCTGCACTTCTGGAGAAGCGTGCCTGTATGGGCATCCGTAGGCATTTATATCTTGGGTTAGGGGAACTTGGAGATGCATTCAGCTGTGCCAGCAATCAGAACCATCACAAAAGCACCTCTGTCCCCTGTGCACTGCAGGGGATGTTGTTAACTCACTCGTTCTGGGTCATACCCTCCAGTGTAGAGCCTGCATGGGCTCAGCCGCCCTTTTCGCCTCCGAAAGGTGGGGAGCTCGAGGGTGGGGCTCTCGGGGCTGGTTCAGTGGCTCCTGCTCCACCTGCCAGACATGTGCAAATGACAGTGAAATCAGCTCCACGCAACGCTACCCAAGCGTGACGGCAGCTCAGCTCTCACCAGAGCTGCTGCAGCCACGGGCAGTGACTTCTCAGCAGCCGGGAGGTGATGGCAAAGCAGCAAGTGTGGCTTTGTCTCTCCTTTGAGCAACGGGCTGGAGGTCTTGGCCTGCAGGACCACCTTCAGGGGGAGATGGGAAGCTCACGAAACCCCTTGTGCTTTGCCAGATGCCTCTGGAGTGAGACCAGTCCTCTCAGCCTGTTCTTCCTCGAAACAGAGGAGATGCATCAGGAAAGCAGAACTGGCCCAGAGTAGCCCGCCTGGCTGCTCTCGGGTCTCTAAGCGTGGCCAAAAGCATGTAGCTCCCCAAGGGAAGGTGCTTTCTGGGTCTTTCCCCGCTTTCTTTATGCCTGCTCTTTGGAGATGCTTCCATCCGAGCTCCACCACTGCCCTCCCACCCGTGCAAAGCCGGCACTTCGCAGTGGTGTGACTACCTGCACCAGTCTGGGCAAGAGCTGGGGAGGAGGCGGTTGGGCTTGGTCTAACAAGGGAGCGGTGGGGATGAGCTTTGCCGTCTCCCAACACGGTGGGGGGAAATTGGGGACCTTTGGTGCCACAGTGCCATTGAAGGGGACTCGGGCAAGGCGGGCATGTGACGGAGGTAAAGGCTGTTTTGGAGACGTTGCTATGCCCAATTGTTTTGTTGGGTTGGAACCACAAACCACAGAGCGAAAAGCATAGGTGCACTGCTTTTTTTTTTTTTTTCAGTAGGGTTTTTTTTTTCTTCTTCTTTTCTTGTTTGAAAGAAGGAAAACAAAACAGAGGCCGTTGAGAGGGGTGGGGCTGTGAAACCGTCTCAAGAGAGAGTGGGGATGACGTGTTTGGGGCCGTGCCTTCCCAGGTACGATGCAGTTGCCTCTCCGCCCCAACCGGGTGGTACCACCATCACCGCGCCAGTGAAAGTGGCCGTCGTGCATAATTTGGTTTCAAACCCCTCCAGAGCCACCGGGTAGGAAGATGATGGGGAACCTCCAGTCCCAACCGAGGGAGGATGACACAGGGATGCTGTGGCACCAAACCCTTTGCTCTGGGGACACCCATGGGTGCCATCGGAGGACTGGTGCTGGGGAGGCACTGCTCAGCTAGCGGTTCCCGCTGTAGCAAGCAGCCGTCATCCGGCTGAAGAGGCATATTTTCCTCATGATGTGGGAGAATTCCTGCAGTGTGACACTCCTCACTGAAGGACCCCGTTCAGCGCCACTGAGGCCAGACAGGACCCCCATTGTGGTCCCATCAGGCAGGCGAGCCCCTCCGAGCCCCTCCGGCGGGTGCTCTTCTTAGCCGCATCTTAGCAGCCTTCACGGGTGCCGGAGGTCACGACGGGGCGGGAGGACATCCCACCACCCTCCAAGTCCTTGCCTTGTCTTTTGTGGAGCAGGGGCTGCCCCCCATTCCCCAACCAGGGCTGAACTTGCTCTGGGAAGCCCCTGGATATGTGCAGCAGAATCAGCGTCAAAAAAGGTGACTTATGTCCTTCCACCCCATGCTTGGGGCTGCATCCAAAAAAAAGCTGCAAGAACAGTCCAACAGTGGTTGTTTTTGGATATAACCAAGGCAACAAGTCATGTGGTGGGATACACCGACCAAGCTACGCCGGCCTTGCGACTGTGTGTGCTTGTACCATGAAGTGATCTGAACCAGGCGTCGCGGTGGGGATTTCCAGCCCCGGCTGGGGACAAGTGGAAGGGTTGAAGTAGAAGGAATGGAAAATGGGTGCTGCTCCCAGCTCCTCCAGGGGCAGGGGTTTGGGGTGTGGAGACAAGGCTGGCAGCTTCATGCTTGCCCTGATAGCTTTGGGGATGCGATATGTGGGGGGGTTGGCATCTCTGCATGAGCCAAGAGTCACCTTGAAATCCTTTTAGACATTGGGAAAGTGGGCTAAAGAAGCTCATTTCTGAAGACAGCCCTCCCAGCACTGATTACAGCTGTACTGGCCCACCAGGTGATACATGGACCTCCAGCACATCTT